AAAATGTCCCGCTGAACTCGCGGAGGAATTTTCCGCTAAGTGTAGCGGAACGTTTTCCCGCCAAATTTAGGAAGTCGATAGGGTGATGACGTCAAAGCTGCGTGTGACATCACACCTGGTTGTGCGTGTTGCATTATAAGATTTGTGGGTCCGACCGATGCCGTTTTTTTTAGACGCGAGCTCCTAAACGTTGTCGCATTAAAAAGAACGACAGCAATGCGAACGAAAAAAGAGTTTCGAAACCAAACGTACACTGAGCTTACGAAGTGGCAGCGGGCGTTTCCACTTCTTTTCTGAAAATAGTGAACTGTCTGAACTATCGCGTTATCCAGGCGATTAAAAGCGATTGTATGAACGTTGAGGGGGAAAGGAAAAGCATGCTATGAAGATAAAATCGAGAGTACTTTCAAGTGGAACGTGATGGTGCATAAATATTCGCGTCACTAAAAACATACATTTTTGTAAGATTTAATTTACTAGATTGTACAAAAACGTTAGATCGCGCAATGCTCTTCTGTCATATAGGGTCCTCATGGGAGCTTTATATATAAAAAAGAAGAATATAGTGAAACAAATTTAGCGACCAAAATACCACAGTATCTTAACACCATCTCAAGAGACTACGTCGAATAGAAATGCAAAAATAGTGAAATTCTTACTGTGAATCTCATTGCGCGACAAGTTCTCTACTGCAGCAAAGTTCGGGAAGTTCGAAGTCTGAAGGAGACGATTTCTTGCTACGCTTTCTGATAATCTTTGAGACCTGATATAGAATGGATACGTCAAAATCGGCTGGCGAAATAGTTTTTTTTTTTTACTTTCCCTTTCCACAAGCCCCTTTCTCGACGTTCTCTGCATATCAAAGCCTGAAAAATAGATATTATTTACGCAGACGCATACTTCTGACGCATCTTTTTTAGAGAGACGACGCCGACGAGCTCGACAACATTGATCACTAAAGAAAGTTGCTGTAGGCACGTTCCTTGCTGTTTACAACATATGAGATACATTTCCTGTTAAGCATGTAATCGCTTTTTTTTTTCTTGGTTATTGTGTTTGTTATAAATTTAGCTCCTGAACGTCCCCTTCTTTTTATTAAAATGGAATGCTGCAGGGATAGTTACGGGTTTGCAGTAGAGTTTTTGTCTCCAAAAAAGGTGGGTTGTTATCGGTATTGCAGGTGATTCATCATAAGTGCGCTGTTCTTAGGGCAGCAACACTTCAGACGCAGTTACTATCAAGGGTACATATGAATTCTGCCAAAATCTAGTAGTATTTGTCTTAACAAAGTTAAGGTTTTTCACTGACCGATCTCCTCATGAAGATTATGTAAAAGCAGGGACACATTTCGTTGTGCCACTTGAACGAGCCATAATAAAAAAGGACGTCAGGGTCACATCTTAGTTTGCAAGTTTTCACATAATGAGCCCACGAAACCGCTCAAAACTAATCCCCGGAAATTACTGAAACAACTTCAGCCGATATATCCTCTTTCGTAACATTAGCTATTTTACAGTGTTATAAGTCACTGCGCATAAATGACATGCGCAAAAATGCCGCTTCACCTCTATTTCATTGAGTGATCTGCATGGGAGCGTAGTTTTTAGCGCCACGTGCACTTTATTGACGCTTGTGATTAAGCACACGCGTCAATAATTAATATAGTAAAGTCAAAAGTATTAATCTTACTCACAAATATGAATCACGAATTATTAGTGGACTACCCATTTCCTGATTAGGAAGAAATATGTTTAATACTTTGAAGAAACTCTTCGTTGTGGCCAAGTTTTGCCTAAAATTTGACCAAGACCGTTTGCTTTTTGAATTCTTAAGTTATGTGCGAATGTATGATCTAGGAAACGCTTGAAACAAAATGCGCAGTACCGAATAGAATATGTTAGTATATTGTAAACGTAAGGTATTTGAGCCAACTTGATTGGTAAACACAGGTTCAAGAACCAACAAAATCTACTTAGTGAACAAAAAAGGGTAATTTACACAATCTCAAATTTTAACTGAAGCAACCATACATGTTTACGTATATTGAGCCACGGGACGTCTTGCGATTGATCTGCTAACTGATTGATGTCCAGGTCAAAATTGTGAAACACCCCGCGGTTTCCTTGCGAAAAAATATATTTATTAAAAATATTGTTTCTAAACACAGATCCGCGCAATGAGTTTTACGCGATTATGATTCTCGGAAATAATACGGATCTTTATTGCGATGGGCAGAATATAAAGAATTTGCCCAGCTATGTAGATGGTTGAGCATGTTGGTTTCTAATTTACGATAAGGAAAGAGGGTCATTGAAGAATAACAGACAAGGCAGGGCTTTTGACTTTCAGGAAAACGTTTACTGGCTCGACTTCGTCTCCTGAAGCTCGACGGGGGCGTCCGGGAGGTTGAGAGAAAAGGTGGGGGATGAGGGAAGCGTGAGCCATGTGGCCCTGCTCGCAGCTACGCGTGCAGGGCGTAAGGTGGAGTCTTTTGTGTGTCAATCGACACGTCGCCGTTACACGCAGACGCGAGTGTCGACAAAACTGTCGACGGTGCCCTCTTGGGGAAAGGAGAGAGAAGGGGGAAGGGCGAGGGAGAAGAGGAGGAGGAGAAGCGCCGGCGGTGTCCTCTTCGGGAAGGAAGGGAAGGGGGGTGATTGCGCGGAGAAGGGAAGGAGCCGAAGATGCGGGAATTTTGACTTTTTTTGTTTTGGTCTTTGGTGGAATACTCTTGCCCCGCAGGAAGCGAATCTCTCGATCGGAAAGAGAAAGGGATGGGCTGGAAGGTTTGAGACAGAAGATTTGATATGTAGAGACTCAAGGATTTCCCTGCCGAATCGAGATTTGTGCCCGCAGAGAATTTTGGTTTTCGACAACTCGGGAATGCACGAGGGGCAGTTTTTGGCGCGAGCCACGACTGGATGGAAAGAGTCCGGAGAGGGAGACGAGATCTCCTTGGCGAGCTCCCGGAGACGGTCATTCACGCAGCGCCCCGTCTGACTGATGTACTCGGCTCCGCACACTACAGGGATACTATACACATTCTCCCTTGTGCAGGGCCCGAAGTACTGCGCGTATCTTTTTGCGCATGTGGGTGGGGGCTCTCGGTTAGCGACTCGCTTGCACATGCCTCCCAATTTAAATTTACATGTGTAAGCATCCCTGGTACCGAATCGATGTGCAAGTGCGCGCAGTCGGTGTGCCGTGTTGTGCCATGGGGAAGCGTGAGCCATGTGGCCCTGCGAGCAGGGCCACATGGCTCACTCTTCCTTCACCCACCACCCTCCCTCTCAACCTCCCGGACGCCCCCGTCGAGCTTCAGGAAACGAAGTCGAGCCAGTAAACGTTTTGTTGAAAGTCGAAAGCCTGTCTTGTCTGTTTGTCTTCCATGTCCCTCTTTCCTTATCGTAAATTTCCTAGTCTGATGTTTAGGCGCTAATAATTATCGCATTATTTCACTCCATAATTCTGACGGGAAATGTCAGGATTTTCGCAGGTATTCGGCTGAAATAGGTGTGTACAGTTCTTAGCTAGAATAGCCAAGACAGATCGAAATAACTAACCCTCCTAGAATCTTGGAGGTATATGGAAGTATGATCCAATAGATATCGATTACCATATGCCTTCAACCGATTGTTGTAAACAAATCTCCGAACTTAACATCTCCTTCTTACCGTATAACGGATAACTGAGCACATTCGAGTCCATAATTTCTTTTATCTGTTTCAATGAAAAAAACTAATAACATGTAAAGCACGTAGCGCATATTTCCCCCAGTGTACAGACTGCTCCTACTAGGACACGTCTACTACCGTTGCTACTGCCAGACACATTACACGTGCAGAAAACGAAACGAAAAACAAATAAGCCAGTGAATAATATACGCTGTAGTTAATATGATACGTCTAAAAACACCAAGCCGCAGCGGTTAAGACATGCGAGAACAACACATAACACGTGTCTTTAAAGCACGTCGCGTAGAGTATATAAGCTGCTCAAGGGGATCGGAAAGCGTACCGAGCTTCCACTTGAACCTCCTACTTCCAGCCACAGAAAGGACCAGCACTCCGAAATGAAGTTCACAGTGAGTTTACAATTTCGTTCTACGCTGTGTTTTTTTTTTTTTTTTTTTTTTTTTTAGTTTGGTCTTTTTAAGAGGTTGAAGACTTTGTTACAAATGCAGTGAAAGGTAAAGCCGTAGTATTATTTTTCTGTGGTCTGGGATAAATGTCACATTATTGACCACATTTCGTTCTATTCAGAGAGTTTCTCCACATGTTGCCTAACATAATTGTACCTTCTATGTTAAAATGAAAAAAAAAATTGCAAAAAAATGACTTCCCCTCAGGAAATATTTGGGATACATCTTTTGAAAATAAAGGTTAAACAAAACAAAGTATGCATCATTTTTAAACTCCTGCAAGTTTTTACGTGATGCTCGTTTTCAAGGCTATATAAGCTCTACACAAAACACAAAGTTAGCTGAAACTGGACAGCACAATACGTAAATAGGATTAACCCGAAGACAAAAAGAAAATTCAGGTGACGTATGATAATACAGAAATACGAACCGACACCTTCAACCTTTGAAATTAGCTATTCACTCTCAAAATTGTCCTGTCCTCTATTGGCAGGAAATACTAAAACTTAGGGGATTTATAGTAAAACAAAAAAAAACAAAAAAAAAAAAAGATCACGAAACTACCGGTCCAACGAAAAGTAAAAAAGACAATGAGGCTTTTTCTGGTGCTTGTGTTAATGTTCAAAGAACAACTGGCCCAGCTTATCGCCTTCGAGGGTTATGTGGTTAATAATTTACTTTTTGCCTCCTTCCGATGCCAGCTTGATAAATTTCTGTTCGCAGTTTATTGGTGTTTTATGAGACCCAATACGCATACATCTAGTGTGATCTAAACCATAGGTAATAAAACTATATTTAGGCTTTTTAGCAAACGGTAGGTCGATCACTTCTGCAATTCATGTGAATGTGTATAACAAACCTTTCCGTTGACCAGGTCGCAGTTCTGGTGTTCCTTCTGGCACTGGCCCTGGTGTCTGCTGGGAGAAGCTACGGCGGATACGGAGGTCATCACGGAGGGCACGGTCGTGGAGGCTACGGCCATGGGGGCGGCCACGGAGGACACAGAGACGGAAGATCTGTCGGATACGGAGGACATCACGGCCACCACGGAGGCTACCGTCACGGAGGAGGACACGGCAAAGGGGGCTACGGCCACGGATATGGAGGACACGGAGGTCATCGCGGTCATGGCGGACACGGTGGACATGGTTACCATGGGCACCACGGGAGGTAGAGTGAAAGCACCTGAACTTCCCAAACAGGCTTCGTTTTCAGTTCCACGTAACACAAGTTCTGCTAAAGATGAAATATGTCTGAAATTGTTTGCCTCTTTTTCCTTGTCAATAAAATGAAGGCGTACCTTGATATATTTGTGAAGAAATGATTCGTAGGTTCTATCTAGTACCTTTAGATATTGTTATAATGTCTGAAAATGGAGCAAAAAACAACCGTTGGTCATTACTAGGGTTCCGTGTTTTTTTGTTTTTTTTTGTGTTTTTCGAATTTCAGTGGATCATAGAGGGTGTTTAATTTCCCGACAAATTCGGTGATTTTTGTTTAAATAGGTTAAGTTCTAACCAATTTCCTTAAAAAAAACTGAATCTGCAACCCCCCCCCCCCCCCCAAAAAAAAGAAGTTAATCATAATAATAATAATAACAATAAAATAATAATAATAATCTTTATTGCCATCCCATAGTACAAAGGTTCTAACGGGTCCGTCAAAGCCTATAATGGCATGTGCGACGCAGACCCGGCAAGTCGCAAAAGTAAGCTATAAATATATGACCAATATCAATGACAAAATACACACCCAAAAAACATCAATTCGAGGGCTTTTACAAACCCAGAAAGCGCAAAACAAATATACTAAAATGTTTCAGAAGAAAAAGTTCGAAGGCATGTTTTTGAGTCCTTAGAATCTACAGAAAATATACCTTCAGGAAGGTTATTGAAAATATTGGAAACATAATAACCATGAGTTCTCATCGCGTACCTTGTAAAACATCTTGGGCGTTCAAAACGGGCAGCCTGTCTAAGGTTGCGAGACAGTTCATGTGGAACCTTAGTTATTCGTCTAAAAATATCTGAGTACCACTGTTTGTCGCAATAACGAAGTCAAGTCCGGCATGCAAGTCCGGCAATAATAATAATAATAATAATAATAATAATAATAATAATAATAATAATAATAATAATAATAATAATAATGTTTTTATTCACACAACGCTTTCGGTATGTCGAATGACGGGTCCGTCTAAGCCGACAATGGCTTGTAGGACTGGACCCAGCAAATTCGCATAGGCGAAAAAAAAGAACACATGAATAAACAAACACGTACACAAGGCTTCGGCTAACCAGCTTCCCAAGTCAAATAAAAAAAAACACACAAAACAAATATACATAAGCGAGAAAATAATGAAGAACGCACATAGAAGCAAACACACGATCATGAGCTTCAACTAACCAGCATCCCAATTCAACTCAAAACGACAACAGCACAATAATTAGCTTTCACAAGCATAATGACGAAGCCACTTCTTCAACTCTCCTTTGCCAGTAACACTGAAAATATCTTCAGGAAGGGTATTAAAAATGTCTGACACGTAAAACGACCGCATTCGTTTTCCATATCTGGTGACACATCTTTGCACTTCATACCGAGGAGACGTTCTGAGGAGGCGCGATGGTGTATGAACTGTTTTAAAACTTTCACTCCAAAAATGGCGTAGCACAACAGTTTCAGTATACAAACTACGTAATCTTGGCATCTACAAATCTCTAAAAAAATCCTCACTGGATGAAAAACATGAGTTATACGCTACACTTCGCAAAATTCCTTTCAAAATGCTGTCAATTTTAGAGTGCCAAGATGTTGTGCAATAGGCATGTAGCGTCACCCCATATCGCAGTACACTGTACGCAAGCGCATGGACAATCGTTTTTCTAACCTTAAAAGGAACAAACAATCTCATATTATACAACATACATGCAACTCTCCTTAGCACACAACACAGATGTGCCATTTGTTTGTTCCACGACATATCATATTCAAAAATCAGACCCATATATCTTGTATAGTCCACCCAGGGAACAGGCTTACAACAACAAAGTTTGCAACCAGAACTGTGTAGAAGAAAAGGGGCATTGGAGAATCCGGGTTTCAGGGGATTACGGAAACAGACGAGTTTAGTTTTTAATGGGTTAACTCTTATACGGTTGGCCGCATACCAGTCCATAACTTTAAGCACATTTAACTGCAGAGCGTGAACCGCCTTTTCGAAATTGATGTGTCGTGAAACAAGCAAGGTGTCGTCGGCATACTGAAAAATATCACTTCCAGAAATAACAGTTTCTAGGTCATTTACATAAACATTAAAAAGTAATGGGGATAGCACCGAACCCTGAGGGACGCCGGTTTCGAGCAACTGGGTTGAGCTATTAACTTTATCTATAGAAACCGCCTGGGCCCGACCTTCTAACAGATTTTTCAAGAGCGTGTGAAAAGGTCCACGGAAACCGAACCTCCAAAGCTTCTCTAATAATATCTCATGATTTACCGTGTCGAAGGCCTTGCTGACGTCTAGAAAAACGGCACATGAAAACATGTTGCCCTCAAAACCAGAGTAAATTTTGTCAGCTACATCCTCTAAAAGTAACTGCGTACCACTCCCAGAAATAAACCCATATTGCCTAGAAGAAAACAGCGAACACTGATCAATGAAACTGGTCATTATATGGAAAATGTGTTTCTCAAAAACATGTTCTAGCACGGGTAAAATCAAAATCGGGCGGTAGTTTTCTACCTTTTTAGGATCCCCGCCTTTGAAAATCGGTCGCACTATAGCAGTCTTAAGCTCATTAGGGATCACGCCCAATTCGATAAATCCGTTTAACATGAAAAGAAGCGTATCCTGCAGATATCTGAAGTTTCTTTGAAGACAACCAAGAGTTATACCATCCACGCCTGGAGACCTAGTGGGCTTAATGCTGAAGAGAATCGAACGTAAATCGTCCAAGCTCATGGGATAAAGAAAAGCGGAGGTTGCGTTCATCTCTATTACTGCTTCCGAAATACCAACTCTTTCTGGAGCAGAAGTGGATCTAACAAAGTAGGAATTGAATCGTTCAACAATATCTCTCAATTTGTTACCGAAATGTTTTTTTACAACGTCATCCACGGATGGCTTTCGCTGATGACCACGAACAGTATTAACAAGTGACCATGTCTCTGAAGAGCTAAAGCGCGCCTTTTCAAACTTGTTCTTGAAGTGCTTTCTTTTCGCCAGTCGAAGCATAGCATTAGCTCAGTTCCTCGCGATCCTAAATTCAGAACGAAGTTTATTATTCTCTGGTGCCCGCCGACTCCGTGCCCAAGCGAGTTCTTTTGCTTTTATGGCGGTAAGTACCTCCGTGTTCAACCATGCGTGATCCGGTCTTCGTTTTTTTATTCTAACTGTTCGTTTACATTTCTCTGTGAAAGAATTAATTATCTGTGTGAACTTTGTGTACAGGTCGGATTGGGATGTGGACTTACGAAATGAGATCCAATCAAATGTCGAAATGAGGCGATCTAGTTTTACATTATCGATAATTTCTATTTGCTTTGTTTCGGCTTCAGGCTTTGTCTCCCCAGAGTTTACAAACTGACATCCTACAAAATAATGATCGGCCATTTTTTCCGTGATAACCGATGACATTGTAACGGTATTCTCGTCTCGAACGCAGATATGATCGATGCAGGACGTGACTAGTTTACCCGATATTATCTCTTCTCTTGTAGGAGCTTTAATAGTGCTTTCAATACCCTCGTTTGCAAGAATGTTTAAATAATCACACATCAGATCGTTCCTGTTTCGCTACATCGATGTTAATATCGCCAACCAAGCAAAATAAACCCCTGTTATGCATTTCATTGAGTGTTTTTTTCAATTATTCTAGAAAACTTCTAACGCTTTGTGAAGGAGGCCTATAACATGCTAAAATAAAAATAATAAAATTGGAATTCTCAATTTTAAGCGCAATCGTTTCTGCATGAGAAAAAGAAATTCGAGTTTAGAAACCAGCCATTTGTTCTTAATGAAAACCGCGATCCCCCCACCCCCCACATTTGACCGCGAAAACCAGAAGGAATTATAGCCAGATAATTTAAACAGATCCCACCAATCCTCAGACACATTAGTCTCGGTAAGTACAAAAATGTCCGTGTTTGCTGTCACGTTCTTAACAAGAAGGTTGAAGAGGCTCCAATATTTCCTTATGCTTCTAATGTTCACGTGTAATACCAAGAAAAGTTGGCCCTTTATATTGAGCCCCTGTTTGAAAACCTTGAAATCTCCACATTCTTGAAAATTTGTCGACATTACTTTAGCTTATATTCTCAAGGTCGTTGATTGTGTTTACCCTGACTAGCGGTGAGCCTTGTTCTTTTTTCGCAAAAATTTTCCCTCCCTTTACCCAGACATATTTAAATAGCACTTCCTTGGCTTTTGACCTGGCCATCCAGAATAATTCTCTGTTTGCTCGATAATAATAATAATAATAATAATAATAATAATAATAATAATAATAATAATAATAATAATAATAATAATTTTATTCGGCTTGTTCTTTCTTCAGCTCGTACGAGGCGGGTCAGTCGAAGCCAGGGTCGGCTTGTGCGACTAGACCCCGTGGTGATGAGACCGATTGTTCTCAGGCGCGAATACAAGACAGTTATACACAATTTAAAGTTGTTTCACGGGTTTCACACACAAATAAATGAGTACTTGGGCATATATACAACATCGAGTGTACCACAACGCATATAGACGTGCATGCATAGATTTACACGTAAATATACACTTAAATACATATATATACTTAAACATCATGCGGGCAAATAGGCTGATGGTCGAACAGTCACTCACATGGTAACAATAACTAGCCTCTTGTCGGTCCTAGAGAGATTCCAGTCGTGTATATTTCAATAAACTGCTACTAGCACAATTGTATTATGCGTTTTTTAAGGACACGCTCAGAGTCAATTTGATCAAGAAAATCT